GATTTGTTTTAAATGAGAATTAAAAGACAAATCTTGGTCAAATATTACTCTGAGGTTTCTTACGATAGTGCTAGAGGCCAGAGCAATGCCATCTAGAGAAACTATGTCATCAGATAAAGAGTCTGAGTTTTGAGGCCAAGAACAATAACTTCAGTTTTGTCTGAATTTAACATCAGGAAATTGGTGCTCATCCAGGTTTTTATGTCTTTAAGGCAGTTATGGAGTTTAGTTAATTGATTACTTTTTCTGGCTTCATCGATAAATACAACTGTGTATCATCTGCATAACAATGGAAATTTACAGAGTGATTTCTAATGATGTTACCTAAAGGAAGCATATATAGAGTAAATAGGATTGGTCCGAGCACAGAACCTTGTGAAACTCCAAAACAAACTTTAGTACGTAAGGATGATTCATCGTGAACATGAACAAACTGAAAACGATCAGATAAATAAGATTTAAACCAGCTTAGTGCAGAACTTTTTAGCCCAATTAAATGTTCCAGTCTCTGTAACAGAATTTGATGGTCAATTGTGTCAAATGCCGCACTAAGATCTAATAAAACAAGTACAGAGATTAGTCCTTTGTCTGAAGCAATCAGAAGATGATTTGTAATTTTAACTAGTGCTGTCTCAGTGCTATGATACACTTTAAATCCTGACTGAAATTCTTAAAATAAATTATTATCATGGAGAAAATCACACAGCTGGTCTGCAATTACTTTCTCAAGGATCTTTGAAAGAAAGGGAAGATTAGATATTGGTCTATAGTTGGCTAACACCTCTGGATCCAGGGTGGGCTTTTTTAGTAGAGGTTTAATTACAGCTACCTTAAAACACTGAGGTACATAGCCTGTTAATAAAGATATATTGATCATGTCTAATAAGTGAGTGTTAACTAAAGGTAAGACTTCTTTAAGTAGTCTATTTGGGATGGGGTCTAAGAGACACGATGATTTAGATGAAGAAATCACTGCGGTCAATTGTTGAGAAATCGGGGAGAAGCAATCTAAATATATATTAGAGCTTACAGCTGTGTTTAAGGGCAGATAGGTACTATCTGAGGACAGGAGGTCATGAATTTTGCCTCTAATAGTTAGAATTTTGGGTAACACTTTATATTAAGGTACTGTAATAAGCATTAATTAATGCTTAATAAGCACCAATTAACCAGTTAATGAGCACTTATAAGAAGAATAAGATGTTTATTGCCATTAATAAGACTATATAAGTGTTAATTATAGCATAATTAACAGTTATTATTGCATATAGGAGCATTATAAGCACTTAATAGAAACTTGATAACAGTTTATAAAGCTATCCTAAATATTAATAAATAAGATGTCTCTTTACATTAATTATGATTTATAAGGTTTAATTATAGAACAATAACCACATTTATTATGGGTTTATAAGACACTATAAGACCCTATCAATTTAAATTAATAAGGTGTTATTAATTGTTCATAATGATCCTTTGCAGCTACCGAATCTAAAGTGGGAACAGTGTCATATAAAGGTTAATAAATTATGGTCTCATGACTCAAAACTAACGGTGTTCCGACGTCCCGGGGACTATAAAAATTGCTACTGGGACACAAAGATGATGTGTCTGGGACAACTGCGGGACAGCAAAAAAAAAAAAAAAAAGCCAAAGCAATATCGAAATGGGTGTTATTTACAACGTCATTACTTGAACGCCGCTTTTGTCGCTTGCATAATTTCAATAAAAACTTATGAGCAGCAAAAATACAATGGCTTTTGCTGCACCTAATCTGGCTCCACACGTGCTCACATGCACACACAACTCGGAACTCAACTGGCTCGCCACTCCACATCAGAGCACAGAACCTAGCAATGCTGAGATGGTTGAAACAACTGATACAAGCTCCTCCAGTGCCGCTCCAGTTGGAGTAGGATGCGACACTTGGCTTCGGGACTCTGAAGGCGTTGTTTCATCTGTTTCTGCCCCTGTGGTAAGTTAGTTTGTTAAAGTAAGCTATAGGCTAACGTTAGCTTGTTGATTTTTAGCTAGTTCTAGTTCTTTGCGATAGCTAACACTAGCAACTCAGCTAATCATGTACATGATGGCCTTACAAAGTTATAAAATGTGACTGTGTGTTCTAAATTTTGATGTTTATCATAATGACGGTAACGTTATCAGAAGAGGTGTACTCGGTTCATTCAGTCAGTAATAATTAGGCTAGCAGATTTAGCTACAGAGATGAAGGTCACGCTTGAACTAACGTTAGCAGCCAGTCATGTTTCTAAATTTCCTACAGGTAAGCTGAGTATAATGAACACCCAGATAACAGTAGTATGTGTTAGCAGAACTTTAGTGTGTAACTGTGACACTCAGAGACATTGGGCCTCATTCACAAACAGTGCGTACGTGTTGCACACTTGAGCACAAAGGAAGACTCTCAGGCGTGCATGAGTTTAAGATCCTTTACTTCTGTAAACACAGAAACACAAGCACATCAGCACGACCACATCGCGACATGCAGGCTGTCTGGGGGGTCCACTGATTAATTAGCGCTAGCTTGCACCTCACTTAAGTCCCAGTCCCGTTCCTGACAAACTGACATTAAACAAAATATGCGCTTGTGCTTAAACACTTAGCTAATACACTGATAACATTTGGCACACTTACACAACTCATATTTCAGTAGGTTACGCTTTTGATGTTGTGATTCGCCATTTACTCCTGTTAGGTGAAGCACGTTTTCATCGGACTTTTTACTCAACTTGCAAAACGCTGAACAGCAACACACATTTGCATTACAGTCTCTTATTATTACACACTCTGTATGCTCACATGTCACAACATAATATTCAACATATTTCCATACTTTCAGCTCACCTGTAAACACAGAAACACAAGCACATCAGCACGACCACATCGCAACATGCAGGCTGGCTGGGGGGTCCACTGATTAATTAGCGCTAGCTTGCACCTCACTTAAAGGACCCTTAGGCTGCCTCAAAGTGCCTGTGAAGAGCTTTACTCATTTTATACACATTCTAACCCACTGCAAATATTAGCTGATCTTGTGCACAAATATCAGATTACAAATAAATACAAATAATGACAGCCAAATAATGAGAAAATAGTACACACATAATACAAACTAAGAATGGGGGGTGTCCGCTTGGGGGGGTGTCCGCTTATATTGCCCACATTACTATGAGTCCCACATACGCACAAACTTAAACTGTGCGTATGATCGTTTGACGCACAAATCCGGGATTCATCATTATTTTCATTACCCGAATTTGTTCTTACTCTGCGAACAAATTTAGAACTGCCTCAGACCATGCGTACGCACAAATGAGGATGGCCGAACTGACTTAGAAAATGCAAACACATACCTTTTAAGTATATGCAGAGTCTAAAAACCACATTCATTAAAAAGAGATTTAACATTTTTTTAAAATCATTAATTTACTAATATATTGGCCAAATGTATTAAATAACCATGAAATTGACACACGTTCACCCTCATCATTGTGACAATTAAAATATTAACAACAACATGAACAGAAAAAACTATCACTCCATCAACATGCAGATGATCTGTAATGCCGACTGCCATATCCTTAAGGCTGTGGCCCGCTGGCCAGGAGGCACCCACGACTCATTTATTTTGCAAAACAGTACAGTGGGAATGTGTTTGGAGGCAGGGGCTGTGAGAAGTGGATGGCATGTTGGTGAGCATCTTTTGTTCTGGTCTTTTATTTCAATTGTTTTTAGTTAGTATTTTTAGTAAGTCTCTATTCCGTTAATGCTAAAATGTTATATTGTTTGGGTGACCGGGCATATGGCCTTAAAACATGGCTGATGACACCATACGCAAACCCTGAAACCCCTCAAGAGGTGCGCTATAATAACATACATGCCCACACACGCGCCGTAGAGCGCACTTTTGGCGTGCTTAAGGGCCGTTGGATGTGTTTAGATCGGATCCAGCCGGTGGCAAACTACTTTATACCCCTGAGAAGGTGTGCAAGATCATTCTGGCATGCTGTTTCCTCCACAATCTTGCAATGAACCATGGCATTCCTGTAAGACCCGGCGCCATCGCTTCTAACAAACTGTGAAATTTACTACTTCTCTCCTCGCGTAACCACTTCCTTCATTCATGAATCAACTCTAGGCAAGCGGTTTCCTTATATGGAGAAATGGGGGCGTGGTAGTATGCTAATCACAAATTGCGAGCACGCGCCTGTCAATTTAGAATGATTCTGATTCACACACATACGCAAAGTAGTGAGAACAAAAATGGCCGATGCGCAGGTGTCATGAATCCCACGGTGATTTTACATACGCACTTATTTTGTGCGCAAAGTAAGAACATTTCCACGCACATATTAGTGAATGAGGCCCAATGTGTCTGTGTCTGTCACTTTAAACATGATCACTTCCTCTCTCCCTTTCTCTTCCACCCAGCATACCAACAGGACCAGTTAGTCCAGAATGGTGTAATCCCCAGACTGGTGTCCATTATAAGGGAGTACCCAGAGAATGACCCCCTGGTCAACGTCTGCCTGCTGGCCCTCTGTAACCTGGCTGACATGGGTGATTATTTTATTAGTGTTTGTTTGTCAGGCTTGAAGTTAGCTCCAACACTGTCTATAGTGATAGACCCTTTTGTTTTCAGACTCTGCGAGGGATGCCCTGGCAGAACAGGATGTGGCAGATGTACTGACATTCCAGCTGAAACGAGCGTCTGATGCAGAGCGCCGACATGTCATCCTGGAAATACTGGGCTCGCTGGGCGAGAGTGGTAAGACCTGCATGGTGCTTCCGGAAGGAGGCTAGGAAAGGAAAGACTTATTGATGATTAAATTAAATTTGTTTTTAACTTCAATAAAGTGCTTTATCATAAGCCATCAGAGAGTGTTTATGCTGAGGTAGCCACGCCTTTTATATCCCTGGTTGTGTTTGGCCATTGACGGTAATGTCAGTCAGTCAGTCTTAAATTTGGTTAAGGTGACATCAGTCATAAAAAACAACAATGAACAAACAAAAATATACCAATGGTCAATTACAAAACATAGCAAGGTATGGGCAAGAAAACAGACAAAATTAATACCTTCTTTGAAGAGGACAGAGGAAGAATCTCCCTGCAGACACAGATTAAATAACAACAAAGCCTGAAACATTTCTAGTGGTTAGTTAAAAGAAAGTATGACACAAAGTTAATTGATGGATTAATAACAGACATTTTTGCCTGGTTATTTTATATGTAAACAGCTTGTGTACTGATTATCCATAAAACACATAAACTGATGTCATAATATAACATTTTGTATAACCTAATACAGGTCCGTAAATATAGACTGTAGAGAAAGCGGGCTGTTTTTTTTGTGAAATGGTTAGTTACAATCTTTAACAAAATTATATGTGTATTCCACATAAACTATAAATAGGATATAAAAAATATTCAATGAAATGCAGAATTTCTTATTTTATCTGGTGTTTTTGTCATATACAAATTTGCAGTGATGATTCCTGGGTGATATGTATGATGATATTGTCCAGTGTCAAGTCTCTATTTAATCATGTGATGAGACGATACAATATACAGTTTCTATTTTAGACTCAAAGTCAGGCACTAAGGCCTATCATAATAGCATGCACTGGGGCCCGTCCTAACTGCAGTACGCCACTGACCCAATAGCAGATTTCATCCCTGTTGTCCACTATCAAATAGGAATGCACAATTCAGATTATCAGGGATAAAAGAGCAGTCACAGAACTAGACAGACTGCTGATAATGCTTATTGATCACAAGCACATAATCAGTCACTGAATGTGCTATAATTTCATCAAAACACACAAACATTCCTTACATCACCTGGCACTGATATTTTATGATGTAGCCAAGAATAATGAGGATAAAATACAGCTTTGAGCATGCAAGGAATGTGTTGTAATAAGTCAGTTATATTGTTAGAAATGGGTAAGTTCAAGTTAAAGAAGTGATGTGATAGAAAACTCCAGAACAGCTCAATGATGAACTCTGGAATTATATTTTCAATATCTTTATCTATCATGACTCTCATACCATCAGGTACCGGGCAGAAGCTGAGGCATTTTCATTTCTGAAGCACACTGTTAACTACCTCTATATTTATTACAACTTTTCAGTAGAATTAAAGGTAGTCAATAGCTCCCAAGGTGGTTCTGAGGCTGTTTGTTTCTGATTAAAATATACAGACTTAAAGGAGAATGGATTGTTAAGCTGTGGCCAGAGTTACTGTACAGTATGTGTCTCCTATTTTAGTGTGTAGATCTATTGCTTATATGACCTGTGGTTATTTTGTTTTCATCTTGCATCATGCACTTGATATATATATATATATATATATATATATATATATGTATATATATATATATATATATACAGTACAGGCCAAAAGTTTGGACACACCTCATTCAATGCGTTTTCTTTATTTTCATGACTATTTACATTGTAGATTCTCACTGAAGGCATCAAAACCAGCTCACCCCAAACCATCTCGATTGGGTTCAGGTCCGGTGACTGTGGAGGCCAGGTCATCTGCCGCAGCACTCCATCACTCTCCTTCTTGGTCAAATAGCCCTTACACAGCCTGGAGGTGTGTTTGGGGTCATTGTCCTGTTGAAAAATAAATGATCGTCCAACTAAACGCAAACCGGATGGGATGGCATGTCGCTGCAGGATGCTGTGGTAGCCATGCTGGTTCAGTGTGCCTTCAATTTTGAATAAATCCCCAACAGTGTAACCAGCAAAACACCCCCACACCATCACACCTCCTCCTCCATGCTTCACAGTGGGAACCAGGCATGTGGAATCCATCCGTTCACCTTTTCTGCGTCTCACAAAGACACGGCAGTTGGAACCAAAGATCTCAAATTTGGACTCATCAGACCAAAGTACAGATTTCCACTGGTCTAATGTCCATTCCTTGTGTTTCTTGGCCCAAACAAATCTCTTCTGCTTGTTGCCTCTCCTTAGCAGTGGTTTCCTAGCAGCTATTTGACCATGAAGGCCTGATTGGCGCAGTCTCCTCTTAACAGTTGTTGTAGAGATGGGTCTGCTGCTAGAACTCTGTGTGGCATTCATCTGGTCTCTGATCTGAGCTGCTGTTAACTTGCGATTTCTGAGGCTGGTGACTCGGATGAACTTATCCTGAGAAGCAGAGGTGACTCTTGGTCTTCCTTTCCTGGGTCGGTCCTCATGTGTGCCAGTTTCGTTGTAGCGCTTGATGGTTTTTGCGACTCCACTTGGGGACACATTTAAAGTTTTTGCAATTTTCCGGACTGACTGACCTTCATTTCTTAAAGTAATGATGGCCACTCGTTTTTCTTTAGTTAGCTGATTGGTTCTTGCCATAATATGAATTTTAACAGTTGTCCAATAGGGCTGTCGGCTGTGTATTAACCTGACTTCTGCACAACACAACTGATGGTCCCAACCCCATTGATAAAGCAAGAAATTCCACTAATTAACCCTGATAAGGCACACCTGTGAAGTGGAAACCATTTCAGGTGACTACCTCTTGAAGCTCATCGAGAGAATGCCAAGAGTGTGCAAAGCAGTAATCAGAGCAAAGGGTGGCTATTTTGAAGAAACTAGAATATAAAACATGTTTTCAGTTATTTCACCTTTTTTTGTTAAGTACATAACTCCACATGTGTTCATTCATAGTTTTGATGCCTTCAGTGAGAATCTACAATGTAAATAGTCATGAAAATAAAGAAAATGCATTGAATGAGAAGGTGTGTCCAAACTTTTGGCCTGTACTGTATATATATACATATATTATTTTTTTAATATTAAAACTAGGGCTGTCAAGCTATTAAAACAATAATCTAATTAATTACATGATCTGTGATTAATTAATTTGAATTGAAAGGGAAGGGGCAAGGGAGTTAGTTAGTTTGTCACAGGTAGACTTATTCAGTTTGCATCTGAATGCCTGGTCCAGTGTGGCTTGACAAGGCTAGCACTAGCACTGGAGGCTGTGCCAGCTCTTCCGGGTTTGCTGCTAAATGCTTTGCAATGAGGTGATATTTCCGGCTTGAAGTTCTCCAATGGTACGAAAATCCCTTACTGCAGAAACTGCAGAGAATGGTGCTCCTATCAACAGTTCTGGACAATTTTTAAATGTTCCAGTCACAGGGCCAAGTAGCATCATCTTGTCTGCCTCCATAATGTGACAAAGCCACTGTGGCCTTTTTGCGATTAAATTAATCAAAATCAACGTGTTATTTTGATAGACCTAGGGCTAATGTGTTTCCTCACACCAATTCTTCTTCCTCTCTCCCTTCTGTTATTTTAATAGTCTGCCATCTTGCGCATGACAGGTTTAGCAGAGTGGGCTGCACTCCTTGGTGTGTTCTAGTTCGCACAGAGATCCATGGTGCATTTTCTGTACCTGTCTTACATGCACTCCCTCTCTACCCCTGGTTCTCCACTATTTTGCTCCATTGTCCCATAACACTCCCCCTCTCTCAGTCGCAGTCCCTCAGCTTTCTCTGTCTTCCCCTTTGAGTCAGTCCATTAAAACTCCTGCCAATTACGCAGAAGAACTACTGGTTTCATTAAAAACAAAAACAAAAAAACCCCACACAGGTTAACTGGTGAGAATCTAACCTGATTAAATTTAAAAATTAATAATGAGAAATCACAGCTCGATCAAGTCCGATGGGTCCGATCTGGACCAATCAGGCTCGGGCAGAGAATCAGAGCTCTGGAGAGTACTATGGCTAAATGCCCAATATGATGAGACAAGTTCCAAAAAAATGCAACATACAAATTTCCAATAAAAATCTTGACCAGCACAGCCTGAGCATCCTTGCTTATGTAAGTCAGGGGTTGTATGTTACATAATGTCAGATTTTCCAACATGAAATAATGTTCAGTACCATCTACTACATGTATTTTGTTCTATAGTGATATAATATTTGGTAATAGATAATGTCAGCTGTTAATAATAATAGAATAAATTGTGCTTGACCACCAGATATACTGAAGCTGCAGTTTGCTGAGTCAGGAGTACCAGAGGCTTTATCAGAGATGATTCGGAGTTTGCAGGGAGGTTCTGACCCCCATGACCTCTGCAGCATCAAGATTGCCTCCAACCTCATCGTGTCCTTGCTTTTAGGAGGTGAGTGATACAGGTGTGACCTTGTTAGACATATCTAAATGTTTGTATAGCAACAACTCGTCTTATTAGACAATTGTGTGTATATCTTACTGTGCATATTCAGCTGTCATTGGCCAGTTCAAATAACACTGGCTATTGTCCTCTGTCATTATATTCAGACAGTATGCACCATGAACGTGGTGTAGATTAAAAGTTCGTTTATACTTCTGCGTTGAATCAACGCCGTAGCTATGGCGTAGGCTCCACGTCGACATAGAGCCTACGCCGTAACCTGCGCCGTAGTCTGCCGTGTACCTCCCCAGTATCGTAACTACGTGTCGCAGTGACGCAGACCTCCTGTCTGTTTCTGTATACTGACACCATTTCCCTCAGTGGAAACGAAGCTTTTATTTACTTTTAATTCACAGATAAGAAACAATGAATTGTGAAGATAGTAAAGCCTCCACTAAATTAGCATTTTACGTCTTGTGTGTAATTTATCCTTCAGGGATTTATACTTTGGGATTTATTCTGGCTTTATATGAGCAGAGGAAATCTCTGCTCGTCGCTAGGCTAATTTATACAATGTAAAATGCCATAGGCTTGCGCTAAAAACGTTAGCATTTTGTATTTCTTTGGATACGTGTTTAGTATGACAGTTGTTTTGTCGGTGAATCTTGTGAGTTATAATAGAGCCAAATTGTGTGCCGTTACCTTTGTTAAATGTTGCAGTTATCCCTGGCTTTATATGAGCAGAGGGAAAGATCACTGGCCACTAGGCTAATCTATACAATGTAAAATGCCATAGGCTTGTGCTAATAACATTAGCATGCTATATTCTATGGGGTGCCATTTGTAAAGTGGCTCACGCTGAAAATAACATCAACATTTTGCCACATTTAGCTTCAAATAATGTTTAAAAAAGTGTTATGAATTTTTTAACGTTACCTTTTACCACATTTACAGCAATATTTGTTAACTTAGAAATATATTAAATAGTTAAATCTAAATATTAAATGTGGCACCTAAATGTTAAATGTTAAATCTAAATCTAAATCTAAATGTTAAATCTAAATGCTAAATATAAATCTAAATGTTAAATCTAAATGCTAAATATAAATATAAATGTTAAATCTAATTATTAAATCTACATCTAAATGTTAAATCTAAATGCTAAATCTAAATCTAAATGTTAAATGTTAAATCTACTAAACTAACTATTTAGCTAATATGCAAATTCACACTGCCGGTCACCGGAAGTACCAAAATAAAAGCTCGAGATGGTCAGACTGTGTTTATAGAATCAAATAACGAATTAAAACCAACTTATAAGGGGAAATGAACACTTGAACAAACATAAGAATGATAATAACTACCTAAAATAACAAGAAGCATGTTTGGAGAAATTTTATTTGACGTGTACTTTGAGTTGTTAGTGTTCCTTCGGAGGGAATCGCCTTGTTGTTAACAAATATTTCCGGGTAGAAAACCAGCAGAATTTAGCTACATATATACATATGAATATCTCACATTTTTCACGTCACTATATCACCGTTTAGACTAATCTGATGTTTATAAAGTCTATAAACACAATGATTGAACAAACATTACTATTTCTGTGTGCACGTTTTGTAAAGAACATGGTTATCGTAGATTAGCGGGGCTAACCGTTAGCTGTTAGCCCCATTGGCGGTGTCTGTAATGACTCATTAACTCTTAAACGGTCCATGAAAAAAATATTGTTTTCCAGCGGATGTCTTAGTTACAACATGATTGAGCTAGCAAAGCAGTTTTGTGTTGCGATGTGTGGTATTTATTCAGTTTTGGGAAATCACAATGTCTAGAAAGCATCAGTGGCTGCAGCAGCAGCAGCAGCAGCAGCAAAGCTAACATCAGGACGTCATCTGTTAAAAGCCTCTCGTTGTCGGACATGACATGAAACTACTCCAGTTAGCTCAATCATGTTGTAACTAAGACATCCGCTGGAAAAAAAATATTTTTTTCATGGACCGTTTAGAGTTAATGAGTCATTACAGACACTGCTAATGGGGCTAACAGCTAACGGTTAGCCCCGCTAATCTACGATAACCATGTTATTATTTACAAAACGTGCGCACAGAAATAGTAATGTTTGTTCAATCATTGTGTTTATAGACTTTATAAACATCAGATTAGTCTAAACGGTAATTAATTCGTTATTTGATTCTATAAACACAGTCTGACCATCTTGAGGTTTTATTTTGGTACTTCCGGTGACCGGCAGTGTGAATTTGCATATTAGCTAAATATTTAGTTTCACCCAGAACATTTAGATTTAACATTTAACATTTAGATTTAGATTTAGCATTTAGATTTAGATTTAGATTTAATATTTAGATTTAACATTTATATTTATATTTATATTTATATTTAGCATTTAGATTTAACATTTAGATTTAGATTTAACATTTTGATATAGATTTAGATTTAATATTTAGATTTAACATTTAGATTTAGATTTAGCATTTAGATTTAACATTTAGATTTAGATTTAGATTTAGCATTTAGATTTAATATTTAGATTTAGATTTAGCATTTAGATTTAACATTTAGATTTAGATTTAATATTTAGATTTAACATTTAACATTTAGGTGCCACATTTAATATTTAGATTTCACTATTTAATATATTTCTAAGTTAACAAATATTGCTGTACATGTGGTAAAAGGTGACGTTAAAAAATTCACAACACTTTTTTAAACATTGTTTGAAGCTAAATGTGGCAAAATGTTGATGTTATTTTCAGCGTGAGCCACATTACAAACGGCACCCCATAATATTCATTTGGAAAATGTGTTTAGTACTAGACAGTTGTTTTGTCGGTGAATCTTGTGAGTTGTAATGGAGCCAAATTGTGTGTTGTTACCTTTGTTAAATGTTGCTGTTGTCCCTGGTTTTATATGAGAAGAGGAAAAGATCACTAGTTGCTAGGCTAATTTATACAATGTAAAATGCCATAGGCTTGTGCTAATAACATTAGCATGTTGTATTTGTGGGGAAAATATGTCCAGATAAAGACAAGTGTTTGTCTGTGAGTGCTGCGAGTTATAGTAAAGCTGATTGGTGATGGCTTGTATTGGAAATTGTTTCTATTAAGCCATATTTAATGTCTGTTTTGGGTGCGTTTTGAATCAACTAAACTTAACAGTTTTGGAGGTGTAACTGCAGAGTGACACAGACACACCACCTCACAAGTAAAAATGCTCACAACGACGTAGGCGACGTGAGTAGACTACGTGCATACGGTCTACGCACAACCATAAATCTTGCTTAACTGTCAAAGCTGTCATGTAAAGCCTGGTTCTTCAGCAGGGAGTTCTCAGATTACCCACAAGGGGGCTGCCAAATTATTGTTTGATTATTTTTTGAAAGTTTTTTATTATTAGTAATAATATGTCTGAAAGTACAGATTCACATGAATTCAACATATTTTATTTTTTGCAACAACTTATTTTTGTGAAAGTGGAGTTTCCCCCCTTACCTACCTGAAAAGCAATACAGGTCAAGAAAGCAGTCTGAGGCTGATATAGCCCTCTGCCTGACAACCTCAATCTGCCCGGTTTAATATGCAATGCAGTTTTATACTATACATGCGGTAGGGGGGTCCCTGCTCTGCCTCTCTTTAAGCAAAGGGGTCCTTGGCCTGAAACTTGTAAGACCCTGACCTAAAGAAAGAGGCAGAACAGGAGATAGAGGAGATGGGTTCAGACTGGCCATGAGCATGACTTGATTTTGCCAAGTAGGACATGCTGCTGGATCAGCATCCCACATTGCGTTCCTGGACCAACATTGCAATCAACCAATCACAGCCCTCTGACATCATCAGTGTGCTCCTCCAGGGTTAGTGAGTAAGTTTGCTAACTAGGAAGGCTATGCTAACAAGTAAACTTGCTAATAGACTAGAATATTAGCGAGTTAGCTTGCTAACTAGGTAGGCTATGCTAATCAGTAAGCTTACTAATAGGCTAAGATACTGTTCACTGACATTAAGAGTAAGGACATAGGCGGCCTTACCTATGTTGTATGTATGTATGTCAACCGTTTCAGTTGTAACGGCCCCCGGCCACCAGGGGGCCCCCAACTGACTGACAAAAAAATAAATGCCGCAAGGAAGACACAATAATAAATCACTGCCCGCCATCACCTAACTAGCTAGCTAACATCCCTAACGTTACAAAATGAAACGCACATACCAGAGTGGTGCTGAAAAGCGAAAACTAGTAGACATCAAAAGGAAAGCTGTGAGTAGTCTTCCAAAAGTGACCTCTTTCTTTGGTCCTGCATCTATAACAGCTGCACCGACTACAGCAGCGGCTGCCGCCCACTCACATAACGCCAGCCAAACAACAAATACAGGAGAAGGTGAAAATAAAGACCTTTCTACTGAAACAGCTGGTGATAATGATGACCAAACATTATCGTTTGAAGCACCACATGATGATAGTCCCACAACTGAGACAGGTGAGGGAGATGCCACCACCAGCACTGCAGCCAGGGAGAAAGTCCCACTGCCATTCACAGAGACAGACCCGGCATGTTGGCCAGAGCATATTACCAGTGACCAACGGATCGATATTGTTCGGAGAGGTCCCGTTCAGATAGAGGACTTTAACTTCCCACAGAGCCAAACACGCCGCCGTTTTACTAATGACAGATATTTCATAAGGATGAAAAATGGAGAAAAAATACGCAGGTCATGGTTAGTGTATTCAAAATCATCAGATTCAGTTTTCTGTTTCTGCTGTACCCTATTTGGCAAGCGAAATCACAGTCTCACTGACGGGGGTTTCAGAATGTGGGAACGACTCACTCTCACACTCCAGGATCATGAGAAATCAAATGCACACCGTTCCAACATGGACAGCTGGCGCGAGCTGGAGACGCGCGTAAGAACGCACAGTGCCATTGACAAAACATACCAAGAAATACAAATGCTGGAGAAAAAACACTGGAACGACGTCATGAAAAGGATAATTGCAATAGTCTGTCACCTTGCAGAACGAAACCTTTCTTTTTTTCCTCCGTCTGTCTCTGTCTTTTCATGCAGGTAGTGAGCTGTCCACGGTGCTGAAATGACGCGGAGCACTCATTATTTTTGTTGTTAATTTAAGTTGAGAATTTTGAATTTTTGATTTTTTGGCTGAATTTTGAAAACAAATCTGTAGAAAGTTGTTTCTCTTTTATTTCCGTTTCTCTGACCGAGAGAGTGCTCTGACCACAACTGGACAAAAATAACGCGGAGCACTCATTATTTTTGTTGTTAATTTAATTTGAGGGGATTGTAAGGGACAATAAAGTATCCATATCCTTATTTGTTGCAAACCAACCTGAATCCTCGCCTTTTCTGCTGAGTCCCGGTTTCTTGCCCTGGTTATGATTTTAACACTTGGTCACAATGTATCGTTTTACATGGGAAAATATGTGCGTCCTTGGGACGCATGGATGACTTTACTGCGTTCTTTCAGCTTATAATGCGTCACGGACGCAGGACGCGTAGCTGGCAAACATAATTATGTTTATGTTTTACGTGGTAGGGCCCCATATCAAGTATTGAAATGGGCCCCCTGATGCCAAAGGCCGCCTCTGAGTAAGGATAATGTCATTTTGCAGTTGCAAAGATCTGTGTTGGACACATCTTCCCTCGTTTTTCAAAGCCAATGCAAAACATTTTCTTTTGCAAGATTGCAGTGCTTGTGTTGATCCAGGACCCTCACTGCCATGTTGAACCAGGATAACCTGTATATGTTGATCTTGGACCATCATTGCCATGTTGATCCTGAATAGAAATGCTAATGTAGACCCAGAGCCATCATTGTTAAGTTGATGTTGACCTAAACAAATTATCCACAATCCACATGGCGACGATGGTCTTTGATCAACATAAACATATTATCCAGGGTCAATATGGCAGTGTGGTCCTGGATCAACATGAGTAACTGAAAAATGCTATTATCTTTTATTTTTTATTCTAGCCTATTGTCAAGCTAGCTTACCTCTTAGCATAACCTACCCACTTAGCAAGCTAACTCGCTAACCCTGCAGTAGCTTATACAGATTTTGTTCAGTGTTACTAAGGATATTGATCAGTTTAACCAACTTTGATCTGGAAAAAGCACAAAGGAATTTTGAAAGAAGCACAGGAGAAACACACTGATTATGTCAGAGGGCTGCAATTAGTTAACTGCAATGTTGGTCCAGGAACGCAATGGGGGATGTTGATCTCGAAATATGTCCTACATGGCAAAATCACATCGTGCCTGTCCATTACACAACAAACCAGCCAAGCTGGTTGTTTATGGCATCGTGACTCCTTACAGCCTTGTTTATCTGGATATTGTGACCTTCTCGGTGGCAGTGTGTCACAGGCAGAGGGCGGACCATTAACAGTCACTCCAGGATTTCACAGGCTGTTTCGGGGATTGCTCTGGCCTGAAATGTCTGATTTCACAGCAGTGTTTCTACAAAATTGTAATGCATGTTGTGATGTTTAGGGGTGTTTTTTTGGGGGGCAATGACATTGCAGGGGTGAGTGAAAACTGCAAGAATAGTTGTGATGCTGTCTCAGATCCAGAGCTTATTATTATGAGCATTTAGTGTTTCCCACAGAATTACAATGATATAATCTATTTGTGATGGTAGGGGGCAGTGGGGGCAGCCTGTAATCAGCTGTTGCTGCCATTTGCAGCAGCGCTGAAGGACTGTTCCTGTGAGCTGCTTTCCTCCTCTCTGCTCAGTTGGCACGAGCTAACACGGCACAATGTGGTCTCATCACCACTCAAATGCTTAACATCAGACACTGAGCTGTTAATCTCACATAAATAACAAAACGGCTCAACTCTGTTCACAACATTGTGAAATCCTGGAGGGACTTATGTCTCTGTGTTACACAGAAATCTCTGACATCGGAGCACTAGTTATTTGATTACCTATAATATGTGTGTGTGTGTGTGTGTGTGTGTGTGTGTGTGTGTGTGTCAGATGAATCTATGCAGAAGTGTTTTGGTGAGGGAACAGGTCTGGTGTATCAGGATGTTCTGTCCTGGCTGCAGAGCTCCAATACCCAGCTGCAGCTGTCTGGAGCCCTGGCCATCGCCAACTTCGCCAGGAACGGTGAGATATTTTCCAGAAAAGAACATTAACTTCAATGAGATCTCTGTGACTTCATTCACAGGTTTGTGAAGGGACATTCCCTGCCATCAGCGCCATCTATATGGAGCGGATGTAGGATAAGCAAGCAGCCACCACCACAGCTGAGACATTTGTCATTGAAGCAAACACACCCTATAATATACAGTACTTCCTTTTAAAGTGACTCTAACCACGGTTCCCCTCAGCTCTACAGAGCTTTTTAGCTTCTTTTACCATCATTATTGTGTTTTTGTTTTCTTGGTCCCTTAGCTTTACTGTTCTAGTTCACTCTCACTGCTCTCAAGTCGTAATTCCAGCAGCAGCAGACAGCTATTTTCCATTACTGTACACGACCTGCTCAGCATTAGACAGCAGACACAGTTAGAGACTAGCTGATAAACACAGTGGAGCATTCAGCAGCTAAAGAGGCAAATGCATTTTTCAGGAGTTGGTAGAGACCAAGAACTGATGACAGTCATTGTCATGTCCGGGTTGGGCTAAAATTGGGTTGATATGATATACCCGGCATAAAAGAGAGTGAATACTGGACAAACATTCATCAGGTGGACACAAACACCACCCCTAATGAGTGATCATGTTGCTGTGTGTGTGCTGGATGTGTAATTAAGCAACTGTTTACTAACAGGTTCATCAAATCATCTTATCATGTTTTAATATGTCAGTGTAGTGTTTACAGCTTGTTTTTGCTGCCAACAAGTGGCCAAAAAATCTGTTATTGCAGATCCTGACGATCCTTAAAATCACCATTAACTATTAAAGTGGAATTAGACAAGTTTTTTGCTTTAACTTCAATATCAATATGAAGTAAATGTTGATCACACAATATAATGTAATTATGTAGTATTAGCAGTGATGCAGGCTTGTGCTGGCCCGTTGTGGTAAAAAAATTAAAAATTCTTACCAGTTCATCTACAGTGGCATGCAAATTTTGGACACCCCTGGTCAACGTTTTGTTTACTGTGAATAGTTAAGTAAATAGAAGATGAACTGATCCTCCAAAGGCATGAAGTTGAAGATGAAACATACTTTTCAATTTTTTAAGCAAGATCAGTGTATTAATGTTTGTTTTGTACAATTTTGGAGTGGAAAAAAAGGAAAGGAGCACCATTCAAAGGTCTGGCCACCCCAGGACATTTGAGCTCTCACGTAACCTGGGTCTCAGACCTTAATTAGCTTGTTAAGGCTATAGTTTGTTCCCAGTCATCCTTAGGAAAGGCGAGGTGATGCAAATTTCAGAGCTTTATAAATACTCTGACTCCTGAAACCTTGTCCTGTCAATCAGCAGCCATGGGCTCCTCTAAACAGCTGCCTAGCTCTCTGAAAACAAAAATAACTGATGCCCACAAAGCAGGAGAAGGCTATAAGAACATTGCAAGTATTTTCAGGTAGCTGTTTTCTCAGTTCATAATATAATTAAAAAATTGTCAGTTAACAGGAACTGTGGAGGTCAAGTTGAGGTCTGGAAGACCAAGGAATCTTCCAGGGAGAGCTGCTTGTAGGATTTTAAGAAATGCAAATCAAAACCCCCATTTGGCTGCAAAAGACCTGCAGGAAGTGGAGTGGTGATGCACTGTTATACTGTGCAGCGACACCTATACAAATATGACCTTCATAGAAGAGTCATCAGAAAAAAACCTTATCTTTGTCCTCACCACAAAATTCAGAAGTTTGCAAAGGAACATCTAAACAAGCCTGATGCTTTTTGGAAACAAGTGCTGTGGATTGATGAAGTTAAAATAGAACTTTTAGGATGCAATGAGCAAAGGTATGTTTAAAGAAAAAAAGGGTGCAGACTTTCATGAAAAGAACACCTGTCTAAGTGTTAAACACAGGGATGGATCAATCATGCTTTGGGCTTGTGTTGCAGCCAGTGGCACAGGGAACAATTCACAGGTAGAGGGAAGCATGGATTCAGTTAAATTTCAGCAAATTCTGGAAGCAAACATCACATCATCTGTAAAAAAAAAAGCTGAGGATAAAGAAAGAATGGCAACAGGACACTGATCCTAAACACACCTGGAAATCCACAACTGACTACCTCAAGAGGAGCAAGCTGAAGGTTTTGCCATGGCCCTCACAGTCACCCGATCTTAACATCATTAAAAATCTGTGGGTAGACCTCAAAAGAGCAGTTTATGCAAGACGCCTTTTGGAATGAAGAATGGGTGAAAATGCCTCAAACTGGTTACAAAAAGTGTTAAGAAGCTGTGATACTTGCCAAAGGGGGTGCTACTAAGTACTGATAATGCTGGGTGCCCAAACTTGCTTCAGGCCCTTTTCCTTTTTTGTTATTTTGAAAATGTAAAAGACTGAAATAAAAAAAATAATATTTCTTGGAAATCAGCTAATCTCTTACTTGCTTAGCTATTCACAGTACACCAAATTTTGACCAAGGGT